CCATCCCATGTTCTCCCTCTTCCTCAGGCACGCTTTGTCGCCGCTGTCACTGGGATGGTCACGAGCCCGTTTGCAGGAGGCACTCTGATGCAGAGAAGGCTCCAGTGCCTGGCTCAGCCCTGCCCCATGGCCCTGCAGACTGCCTTGTCTCGCCGCCGGCCCAGCCCGTGGCCCAGCAGTACAGTCCTGCGCTAATTAAGCAGAGCTGCACAGCAGGGTGTGTGTTCCTTGGCCATCAACGGCCTCCCTTGGACAAGCTGCAGAGAAAAGGCTGAAGCTTCGCAATGTTAGCCTTCCAAGAACCACTTTAATTGCCCAGTAATGCACACCCTGGGGTCTTGTAATGTGCTTCTAATATGGAACATTTAAAGTATGAATAGTCCAAAACAATTACAAGGAGTTTGGTGCTCTGCTGAGTGTATCCTTCCACTCGGAAAAATAATCCATGACAAAGGAGTACGATCAAAGTGAGGATACCAGTGCTTTCTGAAACGTGTCAGGGTCCCCTTGGGGCAGCAGGGCGCACGTAGTGCAACTTCACTCTTTTCTTCCAGGATTAAAAGAATTGCTAGACTGGGATTCCAGATGGTTCAGACCTACCTCATCTCCCTCTGATCAGCCCTAGCATGATTCTTTTTAATGTGAGGTACTATCTAAAGACCCTGCCAGCAATAGTAAGAGAGGAGAAACCAGGGAGTATGTCAGGCTATGAGAACTTGGATAGAAATGTCAGAGAAGCGAGGGATGTTTCCTGTGATCTGTCATTCTTTCAGCAAATAATTTCTGGACAGGTTTGGAAGTGATTTTTTACTTGCTTATTTATAAGGAGTGAAAGAAAGTTCTGCTTCTCAGAAAGGACTATGGTTCAGCTAATTTTATCTTCTAATACTTCTTTCTACATCCTTGACCAAATGTGATTAGAGCCTGTTACAATTGTCATACTAGGAGAGATGATTTTTTCTCTGTCCATCTGTATTCAGAATCAGCAAAAGGAATTGCATTAAAACTGCTGAAAATAACAAAATAGAAATCAAACACTGGAAATGCATGATCTAATGCAGAACGTTTAAGAAAAGTCAAAGGCATTTGGAAACAGGCAGTTGGTTTCAGCTGGAGCTGTATGCAGTATTAACTCTAGAGAGTTACAACAAGCCAGCTATGGTAACTCATGAATTCCAGGAATGGATGTATAATTCACAGTATGATACTATGTACTGTAATGACATTATATGCCATTACTTAAGATAATATCACATATTAAATTCAGATTGTGAAATGAAGTTCAGTTGCTTTACTGCAATCAAAGATCTATAAATGTCCTGTTGCTGAAACTTTAGAATGTTATGTATTAAATCTGTGTATGTTCTCTGAAACTCAAAGTAGACAACTTGTGTAAAAACCTCCTACTGGAAAATGAAAAATGGGAATTTACAGTAAGTACCAGTTTATGCCCCTAATTAAACACAAATGCTGTTATTGGAGTCACTGACTGTGATGGAATTAGAGCAGGGATGAGTTTAGTCTAAAGCGACAATTTCTTTTGGAGAAAAGACAGACATTTGAAAATACCAGCATTTACTTCAAGAAATCAGCACTGCTGACTGGTGTGCCAGGATTTGTGAGCCTCCTGCTTTTGGGAGGAGCTGAGGAAGTGTAGGAAGTGTTCTGCAAAAAGGCTTGTCTTTCTCCAGTGTCTAAAGGCAAGAACAAGCCATCAAAGGCAGCAAGAGGTGATCAAGGTTCTGCTCCCTCTTACACAGCAGTAATCCAGAAATCCCAGGTTTGAGGCAGCAGAGCTGGCTTAGTGCGTCTTTCAGTCTCCGGTAAGGGTGAGAGGCTTTCAGCAATCCCATAGTTTAAAGACAGCATTATTATGCTGTGTCTCCTGCTACAGGACCAGATGAGCTCTGCTCATCTCTCATCTGCTGTTTCATTAGGTGGTCTCATGTAGGACAGACTCACCTGAAGCCTCTTAAAGCAGCAGCAGTGATGCCGAGCTATCCTGCAGTTTATCACTATCTCTGAATGAACTGACCCAGGGGGATGCACTGCCGTATGCTGTGCTGAGCGTTAGGATCCTGGCATCTCTCCGCTTTCCTCACAATGCTAGAGTTTGGTTGTGACTGTAGGGCAAAGGAGCACAGCTGGGGAGAGCCTCCTCATGACCTGCCTCTTCTCTTAGCCACAGGAAACACCTTCTACCCAAGACCTTATGTTCGCTGTGCGTTTGATGCCATGGATTACTTGACCCAAGCCACTGGAGGTTGCACAGCCAGAACCCTTTGCTCACTGTTTCCAGACACTTTCTCTTGACATAAAACTAGTTTCATTCTTAGGAGGGGAACGTTTTTGAGCAGAGCCTTTCACCTCTGGGTCAGTAGCTGAAATCTGGCCCCAGTTGGTAGTGACCGAAAATCATTACCAGCTGACGGCTACTTGGTGAAATGAGCTGGAGAGTCTCATTCCAGTTCCTGATGGACACATCTCAGTAAACACGGTCACAACTGGCACTAACTGGCATTCTCAGCTGAGAGACCACGAAATGAACGGGGGAGGAAATGGGAACTTCCTCTTCATCCTTTGCCTTTTTGAAGCATTACGGACAGGCATTTATACCACCACCGTTTCACAGGCTGGTTTTCCTCTAAATGGCTTTTTGAAACTTTCCAATTTTCATGCAGCATGATTCAGCATAGCCTGATCAGCCATCTCAGTCAAATTTGCCTCATCTTACGGTTTCTCTCAGTTGCAACTGAGCTGCCTGGTGCCATCTCCCAGTACGAATGGTGACTCTGATGTCATATCTCAGTATGAATGGAACTGTCTGATGTCACCCCAGTGCTAACAGGACGTTTTATAATATGTCATCTAAGGCTGCAGGGGAAATCTTCTAATCCATTCACTATGCTGCAGTACAATAGAACATAACACGGTATAATGTGTAGGTTAACTTAGACACCCTCAGGCAGATTTTGGATAGATGGACGGATGGATGGATGGATAGATACATTTATACAAAGTATACATACATTATATCACTCTATTGATTTTTAAAAAGTTCCAGGTCTGCCTGACTATAATGAGATTTTTGAACTTTGTGTTGCGATCAATGAGGGGAATATTATTGGCCTGGAGAATTGATATACCCGCTCTCTGTGGCTTGTTCTGCTCCTGGACTGCCCCTGCCCCCAAGGTGTACAATTCCATCAGACACTTAACCTCTTTTACAGTGTCATCAGGCTAAAAGGAATCTAATAGTGACATGGGACTTGTGCTCAGCACTCTGGCACTATTGCTTTCCTGTCACAAATAATTTATAGCTTTCTATTTCCATCCCTTTGCCTGCACCCCATCCCCTCTTTCTGTTTCTCCAGGCTGGGGGAAATCAATAAACTCACACAACCAGAGTGGCACTTGAGGGGGTTTTAGGGGGAATGTGAGAGAAGAGAAAAGAAAAAACCAGAAAAGAAGAAGAAAGTTCTATTATTTGCCCTAACACAGACTTCTTAGATTGGCTCCTCAGCTACTGCAAATCAGCATGACCTCAGAACCTGGCCCTGAGGCCCTCAAGACACCTTCTGTATAGGTCCTCAGCAGCTATAGATTAGGGCCCCTGACCTATATAGGATGAAGATCTGGGTCTCCATCCCCAGCTAGAACCTTGACATTCCCTGACTCTAGCTACATCCCAGACAGTCTCTCTGCCACTCCAGCTACTGCCCAGGCTTCATCTTGTGTGTATCAGAGCTTCCTAACCTTCTGAGGTGATATTGTCTGAAATACCTTTCTTTTCCTACAAAGATTTCATTCTCAGAAGTTGTGCTTTTTCAAAAATGCCCTCTCAGTGTCTCTGCCTATCTCTATCCCTGCCATACTGCCCACTAGCCACATATCTGCTCTTTGAGGTTTTGCCAACTTGTTCTTTAGAACGAGTCCTTAAGGGAAGCTCTCGGGTGGGCAGGGGTAATGTATTACTTGCTTTCACTTCTGGGACAAATTTTTGGGGAGAAGTTAAAGCTGATATAATGCAGGGCTGAGAGTTCCAGAAACTCAGGCTGAAAAGCATCTGCAGCCTTCATCCTAATTGGACAGGCTCGTTTTAATCTCTGAAAGCAATTTGGTCTCCATGGCCTCCACAGGTCATGGCTTATTTGCCAAGTTCCTTGGTGAGGCAGTCATTCCTGAGTCACAGATACCCAGCACCTGCCAGTAGGCAGGGACCCTGTCAGTCAAGTACTAGGTGATAGTGATTTTCATTCACCACTGACCTCAGCTGGATTTAAACCAGTGACCTAGAGGTGAAAGATTTCACGTAACAATACATGGAGCACTGACAATTACAGTTAAGTTTATTTTCATTCTGAGCTGCATTATGAGCTTTGCAGCATCCACGGAGACATCTTGGGTTCCTGTGCTGTGTTCATTCACCACCTGACAAAGGCCAATTTTTGCCCTCTTTGGTGGAGCTTCTTTTTCCTGGTGATCTATACACTGTCAGCCCTTCCTACAGATGCCTTTTTCTCCCACCTTCTCATTTATGAAGGGCCAGGGCTTTGGGCAAGCCTTCCACCAGTTCAAAGCATATAGTTCTGTGCCAGAAAGGTATTTTTTAGGTACACAACAAAATCTAATCTACACCATTTGTAAATCCAGCAGTGGCTCTATTGGCTGCAAAGACTGCCTTGTGATCATGCTGGCAGATCAGATCATAAATGGTAACGCAGTTGCTAACACACAGGAGATCCGAGCTCATCCATTGAGCACCACAGTTATGCTGTGAATACCCAGGTTTGGGGAGAAGATGACAGAGCAGAGCAAGGACAGTTCTCTGGGAACTGGGCCATTAAAGCAGCAGAATCAGGATCACAGGAAGGCACGCGAAGCCACTCTGCTGCACCCAGAGCTCAGATGAGGCTTCAGGTTCTGACAGCTGGGATCGCGGAATGCAAAGGCACAGAGAAGTTGCAGTTGAGTTCTGACCATGTTTTGCTCTTTTCCAGGATCATCAGAACCAAAGTTCAGCAGCCTTTCCACCCAACACCAGACGGGAGCGGGACAGGCGTGACTGCACCAGGACATACTATAGGTAAGAAGGCTGGCATGAGGTGGTGACGGGACAAGTGCAAATGAGGGCGAAGCTTAGTTGAGGGAACAAAGTCTGACAAGCAGAGGTTAAGCAGAGCTAAAGGGAGGAGGGGGTGGGGGAAAAGAAACCTCAGTGGAAATCAGAGCTTTCAGTTCTTCGTTTCCCTTGTTGCATTGCAGAGGAGGGAATCATGGCAGAGAAAGCAGCCCAGGTAGGGGTTTACCCAAAGTGATTCTGCCTTAACATCCCTTTCACGTTCACGCTCTCTCCTTTGCCTCCCTAGAGAGAAGTATTTACTGCTATTCTGTCTTAGCACCACTCTTCACCTTTTGTCTCCTTACTCTGACTCTATTTCCCTCACCCCCCACCGCCCCCCAATTTATCTTCTCTCTCTTTGCTAAACTGGTCCATTTCTTAGAGCTAGTGACACACAGACCAGGGTAAGGTATTCCTGATGCCTCACAACTGAGTTCTTTGTGGTCCTAGATCGACAGTCTGGTATCCTATGGGATTTTTACTGAGAAAATGCGTTTTCTGCTGGGGGAAATAGGATTGTCGAGGTGAGCAAAAGATGGAGGCTGTAATAAGGTGACCAAATGTCTGCTGGTCTGTTGTGTTTAAAGGTGCTGTCCTAGATGTGTGATGAGGTACTTTTCGGTCATGTCTGAGTGGGCTGTATGGTCTGCAGTTGCTAGCCTAGCTTTATCCAGTAACAATTCAGAGCAGGAAAAAACATGCAGTATTGTGGGATACTGTGAAACAGAGTGGCTTATTCATGGCCTAAGACACTGTCTTAGATACTGTTGGTTGCTGAGAATCAGCTGCTAGACAAGGATGTACTGGAAAGTGCTGGTCTGTGTGGGACAGAGCTGGCAGATACAATCCTGTACACAAACTGTGTTCAGGAACACAAATTAATGGGCCAGTATGGAAGAGCATTTCTGGATGCCCTTTTAATCTGGACTTGCTCACTGGACTGGGAATCACTGACCACAACAGATGGAGTTGGCAAATATTATTCCTTCTTGGAAAAGTAGTGCAATGTCTAGGGAATGCATTGGCTGAGCTGGGATAGAGACTGTGAGTGCTGCTACTGGAGTCTGTCATTGCTCTGGGGTGTACTGGGAAGTGTGGGGTTACATGGCATAGTGTTGACAGGTTCTGCTCCATCCTGGAAGGCTTGTATTGGAGGTATCGACTGTTTCAGGTCAGCGCTTTATGGGTAGTGGCCTATAAGAGAATTGGAATATTCTCTCCATTACTGGGACACACTGGAACATAATGGGCATGCTTACTGCATATATAGCTCTACTTCTTCTGTAGTCCAAAGCCCTGATTATCATGAAGTGATTATTTCTAATCCAGATGACTTGTCAGCTTTGATATATTGGAAACTCATGAGCAATCTTGGATAGCCCTGAGTGGCAGAAGGAGTCTGCCTGTTTACACTGGTCAGTGCGAAAGGAAGACACTAGATTTTTATTAATCTAGGTTGGAGTTTGTTCACCATTTGTTCTAGTAGGGAACTGAATTTATTAGCCCACCACTGAAGTGCTTCTAACCCATGCTAAAGAGGTAATTTTTCAGTGAGTGTTTTGGGTGGACAGGCAAGAGGCTGGTCTGGCTAAGCCAGATTGTAAGCACTCCTGGTGGACAAATGCCAAGAGGAAATGATCTGACAAAACATGGATAGACTAGGCAGTCACTGGAGAATGTGGCCTATGCAGGATTGCACTCAGTTATCACGGCATGCACTGGGAAGCCTGCTCTGAACTGGGCTATAACAACAAGGTTTAGTTTCTTGATGAAATACACTTGCTTGTTATTAATGGCCCTGTAGTGGAAGGCTGTAGGAATGGACTGGCAAAGCTGGGATGCAGCAACATTAGCAGTAGAATGAGTATGAGTCCTTCAGTGTGAGGGACTGGGACTCTGCTTAGTGCCCAGGCTTTCCTGTGAGACTGGTGGCATGCGTAGCTTTCAGCTGGGGGATCCCTGAGTGCTGTGCTGCTCTCCTCATGGCCCTTTCTCCCTTTTCCTTTTGTCCAGTGCCCAGCACGGCATCCCCTCCCGTCTCCAGTGCCTCCAATGATCCAGTGGGCTCTTACTCCATTAACGGGATCCTGGGGATTCCTCGGTCGAATGGCGAGAAGAGGAAACGTGATGAAGGTAGGGGGAGGGGAGAAGCTCATCCTCCCTTTTATATTCTTTGTCCCCATGTACAGGCTCCAATTTCAGGCCAAGGTTTGCAGCTGCTCCAGGGGCTAGATCAGTTTTAGCAACAGAGACCAGTTCCCCGCCACTGCCCTGCTGGCTTGGAATGCTCTTCTTCCAAGGCCCTTTCATGACAGGCTGCGTCTCCAGACATCTGCTCGGCAGGCAGAGAACCGTCTCCATTGCTGGAGCTGATCCCAAGTTCATTCACTGCTGGAAATGGCTGGAACTGAACTCCCCAGGTGCCAGCAGGTGCCCAGACTTTGAACTGCGGGAAAACATGGTTTCCCCAACTCACTTGTTTTCAAACAAAATGCCATCTCGGAGAAGCACCAGCAATGTGGGAGTTACTTTCATTCCCCTTGCTAAAAAGTCCCTGCCCTTGATGTGATGATCACCAGCTAACATAGGTCATGATGTGCCACGAGCTATGTTAGCTGATGGTCATAAGGGCCCTGTTTTCAATGGGTAGTATCTACCCCAGCAGCACTGCCATGCCTGCAACGGTCTGAAAGCAGAGCAGGAGGTCTTCAGAGTACAGTGTCCCTGAGGTTGTTTTCTAAGCCTTTTGCTAGGGCTCTAAGGAATTAGGACTGAACTATCTCCTTTTCCTTCTTACCTGCTGGGAAGGACTCAGGGCAGAGTGAATCCTGAAATGAGGCAAAAGCTGTAGCCTCAGATCTAGATAGACTGAGTCAGGAGGGGTGGGCAAGCTCTTGGTGCTGTTATGGTGACTTCGTAAACTTTTTTCTTTAAATCTTGCTCTTTTAATTTGATGCATTCAAAAACTGAGGGCCAGGAGGTGAACTTTCCTAACAGCAGTGCCTGACCCGTTTGTTTCGTTCAGCCCTACCTTCAGTATGTTGTTTTCCACTGTTGCCTGTTGCGTGGTGGGACCTTTCAGCAGTACAGGTGGCTCAGTGTGCTGCGTGTGCTGTAACCCCAGCGCTGTGTGGTGCAAGAGAATACCAGGTTTCTCTGTGATAGGTGGTGAGAAGAGACAGGTCTCCTGAGAGAGATGCTGTGTTTTGGGGTTTTGCAAATCATTTTCTCAGCATTGGTTCTGGTGAGGTTCACATCTGTAAGTTTTTGATCCAAATAAACGCAGTAATCCCAAGAAAAGAAAGGCAGTCACTGTGACCCCTTTCTCCCTAATACAAGGTGAGACTGGAGGCAAGGACCCAATCCAGCTCCTGTTAAAGCAAATGGGAAGATTTTTGCTGATGTCACTGGAAATTGGATCAGGCCCCAGAGGAAGATCCATTTCCCAGCTAGATGGCAGTAGGGCCCAGCTAAGAGAAGAGTGTAGCAATGGAAGGGCTGAGTCAATGCCTCAAAGTCAAAAAATGTCAGGAATAAGAGACTGTAAACATTGCAAACCTGTCCAGCATTTCCTATCAATACATAGGCAGGAAAGAGGGACCTTTACAAATTTTTCTGATGGTTGTACAAATCTCTTGGCAGTTACTTTGGGTTTCTGTGAACCCCTGTTCTTACACAGTCCACCATGGCGATCACCAGCTCCCAACATGGTGCCTCCATATCTCATTTTGAAATGAAGCAGTCCAATCTGGCTTTAGTGGCTATTCTTTCCAAATACCTGGAAAGATCATCCCACTTTAGATACAGCCACACCGTCACTTTCAGCCCCAGAACCTGAGCTTTTTGGAGCAGTACAATTAACCACACCAAGTAGCCATCTAAGACTGTGATACTTCACAATGATATATTGACAGTAAGAACAACTCTCTGTGTCTGTCCTTAATTCAGCTCAGCTTTGATTTATGAAGGGCAAGCAACACTCTGCGGCTCCCTGCTGTTGGCCAAGAGCCCAAATATCCCACTAGGAATCAAAAAGGTACCAGACAATCCTGGAGATGTTGCCTGCCTTTAGCTCTCAGAGTTTTAGGTGGCAGTTACATGCCACAGCTGCAACTGCCTTAGAGAACAGCTTTCTTCCTGCCATCCCAGATATCTGCCGCAGGGAGACGTCATGCTCATGTCCCAGAGAAACCTCGCATGGGACACCCTGCCAGCTGCTGAACACCCCTGGCCAAGAGTTGAGTTATCTTTCAGCTCGAAATGCTGAAAGACATCGTCACTTTGCAGGGTTGGTTCCTAAGGCTAGAAGGGTCCAAGGGGAGGTTTTGCACAGCCAGTGACCTTGCGCTCACTCCTGGGCAATCTCCTCTGTAGCTCTGAGGGCTCTGATTGTTCCTAGCTGAGATGGGGATTAGGAAAGCCAGGAAAGAAATCCAGTGCAGGCATTTCTTTCACGCTCAAGTTGGATGTATACAACTTCTCAGTATTTCCTGGAGCTTCAGAGCACTGTTTTGTTGCAGTTTCTTAACTGAAGAGTTTATTCCCATGTTGAAAAGCCCTTATGAGCATCCAATGCACGTCTACTTTCCCAGAATTTTGGGGGTGGCTCTTCTCCAAAGGAGGCAGAAGAAGCAGCACTGCTCTCTCTTGCTTTCTGGTCTGCCAGACCAACTCTGCTGCAATGGTTCCTATGTGAGGAATGCAGTTCAGCAGAAAGGGGGGAAGTACCAAGCTGCTCCTGAATCCCTGGTTCTGAAATCCTTGTTAGCACCTCTGTGATGGCTGGGGGAACAGGGTGGGAGAGACAGAGGAACCTCTATCTGAGCACACCCCCTCCCCCAGGTCCTCCTTGCTGCAGCTGGTGCCTACATTAGACAGTAGCACAGATGATTAAGAAGAGGAGGGATAATTATGTGTCAAGATGATGTAGCAGAACTCCCGAGTTGGACAGAAGGAGCCAGACGGATGCATGAGGTGGGCTCAGTGATGGACGCTGACAGCCAGGTGTGTCCCTCACAGGGAGTTACAGGGAAGAGGGGAAATCCCAACCTACCAAATGTGCTGGTTGCAACTGCCAGAGTGGCTTGGGAAGACCATGAGAGGGTGTCAGCAGGGAGGTCCCTCTGAGCGTCTACTAGTCACAAGAAGGAACTGCCAGATCACAAGCCTTTCCTCAAACCTCAGTCTGTCTGCCTCAAGTGAGTGCCTAGGAAGGATGGTCAGGACTTGCCCTGTTAAGACCGTGTATTCCTTTTGCTTCAGTTTTTGAGCAGTGGCTGTAAGCCCTGTGAATTCAGTGACAGATTAGACAAAGCAGAGAGTTGGTCTTCTATGATTTTTTGAATGATTTGGCTAACAAAGTTCACCACCGCTTGTGTAGCACAGTGTATGCCTTTTCTTGCAGTCTATGGGCGCAGCCAATGTTGCTGTAATTTCCCTCTGACCTTCCCCACCACTTACACCCACCATCTTTCAGAGGCAGAAGTGGCCCTGCAGCATGTAATGACTTTCCCAAGACCACTGAGGGTCTTGCAGTATCAACTACTGCTGGAAACAGGAATTTTTGGCTCTTCACATTGTACTATGCTGTGATGGCAGGACAAACTCAGCAGGGTCATTGTCAGACTGAGGAGCAGCAATAAGAAGTCCAGAAGGATAAAGGGAGAAAATAACATGAAAGTATTTGTGTTGTTTCATAGCCCCTGACTGATAGCTAAACTGATGAGAATGGGGGTGACCAGAGGCACTAACAAAAAATTGTCATCACTCATACTGTAGTCTCGAGCACCGTATAAGGAGAAGAGGGAGAGATGGGGAGAAAGGCGGATAGATAGACACGTAATTAAATAATATGAAAACAATATTTCAAACTGGTCCCTGCATACCACAGCATCTCCAGCTGGGTGAAACTTTGGGGACCTTTACAAAACCACTCTTACCAGAAATAGCTCCTTCTCTCCATAGCAGGCCACAAACAGACTTCCTCTATAGACCCAAATTCTCATTTGGGATTCGTGTTCCAGTGAGGCTGGTGCTGTAACAATCTCAGTGTTATTAATCTTGGTTCCTGACAATATCTGTAGTATTTGACAGCATTACTGGCAATAATATCTGCAGTGCCGACAATGGCAGAGATAATATCCCCCAGTATTATCGGCATTAGCAGGGATCGTATCTGCAGCTTGTTATTGGCAGGAGCAGACGTAATGTGTCCAGTATTATTAGTATCAGTAGTAATAAAACCCACAGGCTTGTTAGTATGATCAGTGCTAATATCAGCAGTAGGTTTGTGAGAGAGGAGGGGACGGAGTGATTGCTACTGTAAATGGCAGTAATACTCGGCTGTTTGCAGTAAAGTAATCCCCAGTGGCGATGAGGGAGCAAAACCGAGAAGGCAGAAGTTCCTCCTTTCCTTTCTTCACCTGTCATTTTAATGATTAGGGTGATTTACATTGAAGTAAGCAGTACAGGGCTGTGTTGGTGCAGTGGGACAGTGAAGGGTCACCAAAATTTTGGCAGGTCTGGTGGTGTTTTCCAAAGAGTGTTAGCTTCATTGGTGCAGGTGGTTCACTGTGCTCTGCAAAATGGGATCGAGCTGTGCAGAGCAGGGTGCTGCCTGCGAGCAGCAGGAGCATTTGCACTGTTGGTCTTGTATGTGTAGGATGGCAGCATCACTGCACTTCTCTTTGGTGCTGCATGCATCGTTTTCTGACTGTTACTACCACAACACCTTCTACACAGAAGCATTGCTTTTGTTACAGGTGGTTTTCTCTTTCCTCACTCCAAGTGGGAGGACCCTGACTGCAGGGCAGGCTTTCGACAATGTTCAGCTTGGGGATTTTCCTACCTGGCCATGATCTCATTTTCCTTCTGGGAAAGTAGAAATGCCTCCTTTAGGTGGAGTGTGAGCTAGGGAGATCTGCAACAGTCCTAGTCCTGAAAGTTGTGTTTTAGATACTGCCTCAGGACACAGGCTGTCCTAAAGAAAATTCCGAACTCAGTTGTTTTAAGTGGAAAGTAGTGCAGAGAGATGTGTGAAGTGTTTAAGAAGGGCTGAGTTTTTGAGCAGATATACAGCAGCTGAATGTGCCACTGCAAGTACGATCCCATTTGTGTTGCTCAGAGTGGCAATG